GACGCACGTAAGTACCCATACCCCTTCACGTGTTACGCTCTTGCACCCAATGGCTGCTTTCATAGTTAGCCGGCGTGCCGAGGCAGTGCTAGGGGGGAGGAGGGAGGCAGACGGTCGGTCAGCCCCTTCGAAGGGCTGTAAACAAAGAGAGACGAGATCAAAAACCATTCGCACAACCCCTGGTTGTTTGGTTTTTGATCTTGTTCTTCTTTGTTTTCAGCCATTCGAAGGGGCTAACCGACCGTCTGCCTCTCTCCTCCCTCCTAACACTGCCTCGGCACGCCGGCTAACTATGAAAGCAGCCGGTCACTTTCGCGCGAAATTGAGCATGACTTATGGGCATCCGTCTTCTCCTACGGATTAGAAACATTTAGCAGTACTTGGTCATGACATGACATTGAAAATAAGAATATTTCTATTTTGCATATTATGATGAAGACGATGCAGTCGTTTCTAGCAAACTGAAAAGGAATCTCCTCAATGAAAGTGTTGAGGAGGAGGGGAGAGGGGGGTAACTCGTAACCAATGACAAAAAATCTCAAGTAATACATTGAAAAAGCATGGATTGGACCTTTACTTTGCAGCTATCAGAGATCAACAAGAATATTAAAGGAGATCTGCGCTCCGGAACTTTGGTATTGATGCGCAAAACGTCGTAGGAGCAGGACGATAAGGGCACTTAGCTGAATGACTTCCCGGAAAGAAATGTACCAGTGATGATTGAGTTCATACCTTGAAAGGAAAATGTATAGAAAGTTAGAAATGGGAAGGTAACATGTTTTCCTTCAAGTGAGTTTCGTTATGGACAGGCTACAGAGCCTCCTAGAAATTCATTCTATGGACTAGAAAATATTACTATGGGTATTACAATATTATTACAACTTCACATTTGAAATATCAAAAAAAATGAAGGAAATCAGAATCACCACATTGGCATTGCAAGATATGCACCAAAACTATATAGCCTCATCACTGATATACCTTTTGTGCAGTATTTCGACAGAGGCGATGGCGCTCATCTTTTAATCTCATTATTTGACTTGTTTGCCTGCAAGCGAGCTTGAAAAACTGGTTCCACGATGTTATAAATTTTTTGTCTATAATTACTTTGTCTCTCATAGACTTCAGTATTGCACTGACGACAGCTTTCCTCATTCACTGAGTATTCAGTGATGGGGCGGGGCGACTCCGTTCTCAGAACAAATGGCACCTTTCTAGACATGAAATTCTACACAGGTTTTACAACTTTGACGCAGGACCCAAAAGGAGGGGAGCTCGGCGTAGACAGGGCAGTGCATGTGATGTTCTTCATGTGCTGTACTTACGTCTTTGATTGGAAGTCTATTGGCTTCCCTTCATCTTGAGAATAATCGCTCATAAGAAATTCCACTGTTAGGCAACAATGGCTTGAGTAGTACTCACAAAAGTTGTCAAGCTATAGTAGCACCATTATCAGATGCCGTTATCTGAGGATCTTCTTTCTTCTACGGATATATTATAAGTGGGAGGCCTATATTATCAGCGGTTGGATGAATTTTATCCTATATGATATGGAAACGAAGAAAAAAGTGGTCTTTCACTGAGTCACAAATTTTGGTGGGTAGCGATGCAATCAATTAATCGTAGTAATTATAACATCGTAAATAGCACCTAGCTTAGTTGGTCAAAACACATACCAGCTCTTATTAGTTGTTATCAATTGGTAGGTCGTTATCGTTGAAGTTTCACAATTAGAGCGCAGCCTCTTACATTTAACAGCTCATTATCAGCCGACCTCAGTTGTTATCAGTTCCCGTCACCGAGTACCTACGATCCGATCACAGATTACATCACCTATTACAATGCCGAGGTTTCCCTATGACAGGGTGCGCGTTGCAGACCTAGGGAAGCTCGTCTTCTAGGGCCCTTTATCAGTCTCTATCAGTTGTTATCCATCCCTTCTTCAATCATTTATGGTCCCTTCACATCCTAAACGATCTACTAAAATGCAGAGTATTCATCGCCAAGATGCAGGGAGTTACGATCGCTACTTGTTGTTGTCACCGCCTATCCCCCACCATCAGTGTTTCCGCCTGTTCATATTTCGAAATTGGAAACAGGTTTAGTAGTACTTGGGGAAGGGGGGGGGGGGGGTTCAATATGAATAGTATGGGTGTAAATTTTTACCACTAATATTCGGAATCTGACATGTTCCAGATATCCTTAGAAGCTTCAACTCAAAATCAACTGAGAATACAGAGATGATAGTCGTTCTGGGATTTCTTTCCTTTTTGTCATGTCTAAAGTGTACGAGCGCCAATGCGGAACACAGTCAAGGAGGAAAACGCACATAGTGTGTGAATAATTGCAGACGTGGCTATCCTTACTTTCACCGAGGTCTACTACCACAACAAGTCTTACTCTTAAAGGAAAGAATACTTGGTCGCAGTGGCTATTCAAGATGAGATGTGTATCCCCGTAGTTGGTTTCGAACGCTGATCTCAAATCTGTATTCTAAATCTGCTAAACGATTCTGGGAACAAAGTTACGGGACCGATGCCTCCCTGTGTTATACCACACTAACGAACGGATCACCGAGCCGAGCAAAGCACTGGAAGTGGGCAATGGTGGTCGAGCGGGTAGTGCAGTGTCTGGTAGACATGGTATCAAGGTTCGATTCCTTCATGCATGCGCTCGTTTTGCTTTTCTATCAACTGCGTCCTAAACGCTTGCAAAGCTTTTTTGGGCTCAATATTGGGCATCTACGGAGCTCCCGCGCGATTTAGGATTCCGGGGAATAGTGATTCGATGAAAAAAAGTCTACCACTACTGACCGTATACATGTATATGTACGCCTCTCTACCCCGAGCACTCAAGATGGTGTTTTGAAATCTTCTGCAGCTCCCCGCACCAATTACAGTAGATGGCGGTCGAATAAGTCATCCGACCACAGCCCTCTTTGGGAGGGATACGGTCTTCACGTTCTACGAATACTGTCCGTGCTTTGTAAGCGGATGTAAAAGTTAACTGGCATTTTTGGGGAAATACTGTAGAACAATAATTTATCGTCTTATGTGCACATATGATTACCCGCTAACTCTATTCTTGAGGTAAACGCCCTTTCAAAGACACTTCATGGTAAATGTGGTGGTGCGGTGAGGCATGATACCATGATGCTGTACACAAAACCCTGAATCCACTCACGGCTTGCTTTAAAGTTGTCTCCAATGGTCTTCCATTATTGATTTGAAGCGGTATCCGGTAGAAATGACTGTCGTGTAAAGGGACCTCTATATAAATATCCACTATTCTCCATAGGTGGGCAGAGCTTTCAGTCCGCTTCTTTTGCACCTAATGTTGCGACCAACCAACCAACTCGAACTGTAGGAGACTATCGACTCATCTACCAGCGCCGTAAAGTTGGAGCTCAGATCACAAACTTGAGAGCTACGTTTCACTCCGAAACCACTATATCCTTCCGAAAGTACTGGTCCAACGTCGCTGTCATCATCAGGCGACCGCAGAGAATCGTTGTGATCGCCTTTCACAGACTCGACTCCCTCACAAAGGATAACGGGCTTGTTTCCACAGCATTGAGAAGTACGGTTCAAAAGCTCTTCATCACCGCCCCTTCCTAGATGGTGCCCACGTTATGCTACAAGAACGAAAGTCCTCCATCAAGTATGATGACACCACCTTCGGTCAGAAGACTTGCTGAATATATAAAATAGCTTTTGACACGACGAACTACTTAGAACCTTCCTCCTTGAAACTTCTTGAGCCCATTTTGAGCAAATGTTCAAAATTCCTCTTTTGTTCGAATGTAACTCCACCCTTATTCGGCCGGTGAAGGGCAGAACAAACCTTCCTAGTAATCCTTTTCAGTGTTCCTTAATTGTGAGGGAGCTCCGTAGATGCCCAATATTGAGCCTCAAAACTTTTGTAAGCGTTTAGGACACATTTTATGGAAAAGCAAAACGAGCGCATACATCAAGGAATCGAACCTTGATGCCATCCCTACCAGTCCACTACACTATCGAAAAAACATTCGGTCTTGCGATCCCCAGTTTCATCATTTTTCTGTGCGTACTCATCTGAGCGACCTGTCTTCCGTCTGAGTTGTCACCTTAATAATGATAACCTTGATAATCGCTTTCTCCTAGCAGGCCCCTGCATAGCCTCCATTCGCCCCTGTCGGGAATCATAACTATCTAGTTGATCGTCCTCGCTTGAGGGACACGAGGCAGAAAATTTCTTTCATTCGGAGCTCTCGTGGAGAAGTCTAACGATCGAATTAGCTAAGGTCCTAGCGTTCGTAGGGACTCTTAAAAGGTCCATTCAGTAACCGCCCTGGTCCAGCGATCATCACAATATCGCTTGAAGTGTCAGACACACCTGGCCCTCGATTCCTTGATAACGGCATCTCTAATTTTCGTCCGCTTGGAACCTCGGATTCCCTTCTGCACTTGCATTATAAGGCTATTCCAAGCATCGCCTGTCCACAACGCGTTTATGATCCTGCTGCATTGTCAATCTGCTTGCACAAAGTTCAAGCCTTTGTGGTCAAGGCAGTAATCGGCGGCAGCCGATCATGGATTGATCGCAACATAATCCATGATCGGCTTTCGATTATGTCGGCATGATCCAAGTAGATTCGTCGTGAGTTAAGTTAGCCTTCGGGATAGGAACTCTTTATTTACGGCTAACGTTCCGTCGGAATCACTTTCTTCGAGCCAGTAAATCGAATATATGTACGTAAGCTTCTGAATCACTAACTTACCTTCTCAAACTACAAAAAGAACATTATAAGGGCTGCAAAGTAGAAGCGATGAAGCTGATCTGTATTCGAGTGAAGCTGTTTGTCGGTACCCTGAGCCCAAAGTTCATCACAGCGTTTCCATAGGTGTTGGACCCGACAGGGCTGGCGGGCGAAAATTCGCTAGGAAACTCGCGCTATTGTACTGCGCCCAGTCCAGATACTATTAAAACAAAATGTCTGGTGAAGTCTGGGGAAAAAGCAGGACTATTTCCCCGTAGAAAAAAAGGAAATCTAGACGGTAATGACAATTATCGCATAGTCTGCATGCTGTCTGTAATCTAGAAACTTTTCACACGATTCAACCTCTCCAGGATTGGTAGAGATTGCTTCAGGGGATCCTTTAAAACGCTCATCGCCCTTGATATTGATCGATCTGATGCTCTCGTCAAAGCTCAGATAGAACTTACTCCTTTTATAGCCAAGTCAGCCGGGCTGTGATGCGATATAACTTTCCACTTCCCTGCGTCTATCCTCACAGCCATGATTTCACGCTAATCCTGGTGACAGCGAGAAAAGAGTGTCTAAGGGACGCCGCACTGCAATGGCATGGCAATTCCGTTTAGTGTCTTCTACGTTGGAGAAGAACTCGACACCTCCTTCGATTACTTTGCCTTTTGCTCCTTTTCAGCGTGTTACCTGGGAAAGACATAGGGCTCGGGTATTTCTGCGCCTGATCAGATCAGCTGCATATCGAATTTTAAGGTATCTCATATCAGGAGTCCTCATTTGTGCTAGCTTTTTTTTTTGGCCAAAATCTTCACTCTTCGTAAGTCCTTGCATACTACCCACAAGACACGGGCGAGGTTCTATGCACCACTTTTGTGTAACGTGCTACTTGCTTTCAGTAGGACGCTTCCCCTCTACCTTTACTGACTCTCATATTCCACACAGTTGCTTTTGCAGTTCCCCTTTCTCTTTCGGCATGAAATTCGGAAAAAAGTAATTTTCTTGCTGATCAGACTCCTTTCGAGACGAAGGCGCTCAATAGATGTTTACTCGGGAGCACATGAATCATTGGAGCGTATAAATCCGTATAAGGAGCGAGTCGCTGAAATACACCGAAACATTACCGACGTCACCATAGAAAAGAGGCATACCTGCTGACCTAATTTCGGCACTATTGCGACTTCATGATTTTCATCCGCTCCATTGTGTTCCCACTGTCAGAACAAAATGATGCTTCTGTTTTTCTTTCGAAATGAAATGAAAAAGCTGTTACTGTAGAAACTTTTTCATAAAGAGTGTGAACCTTGCCCTTGTTAATGGCGCTTCGAGCTTAGCCTATTTTGGGTTTTCAACGTCCTCTCACTTCTCTTTATAGCCAGTAGGTAGTCTTCCTCAGCAATCAATTTTTCAGAAAGCTGTGAAGATTGCAAATGTACTTGTGGTGTGCAGCAGTGCGCCAGTGGAGCGGAGCCAGTGCGAGTTATTCACAAAAAACGGTTGGGTAAATGTGGCTGCGACTGTAGATGTTCATACCGTTGTGTTACCTTTTAGTTATGTCGATGTGAATAAATCTATTTCAAAAAAGTTCCAAGTTTTGGAATCTGTGATGTTGTTGGAACTTTTCAATAATAGAAGCAGAGAAGAAAGGATCGATATGTGATGTACGTGCGGTGTTTCCAGACCTCGTCATGAATTAATCAAGATTTATCCACTAATAAAGCCTACTTGGTAAGCAGTGACATCGACTAAATGCATAAATTGTGTGTACCCTGTTCTTGACCACGTATTCCTTATAAATCATCACGTGATCTCATGGTATCTGAAATTTAACATGAAGCTTTTCTTTCCAAGCAAAACGGATGTAAAGCTCTCACCAGAGGACTTTTATATAAGGAACTGACCTGGCAGAAGCATCCTGACCGGGCCCGTCGAATAATAAAAGTGCCGTTACCGATGGGCGTCGCGACAGTAGTGAGGTGTGGAAACGCATTCCGACAATCACGTAGAGCACACTGAACTCATGAAGAATACTGCTTGCTAACGTTATTAACCGGATTAGATAGAAAAAATGATCCATCTAGTACCTGTAACCCTGCGATTATTTTGGACCACAAACTTTGCTCAGTTTTCTGGAAGTACGGCAACAACGTGACCAGATACATGAGAATGTCGATTATTTCTTGATCCTCCGTGAGTTCTGAAGAGTTACAAGTATTGCTTTCTATCTTTCATAAGCGCTTGTTATACCTACCCACTTGGACCGGAAGCCATGCTTTGTAATATTATTGAAAAGAATAGTTAGATATCTATAACAAGCTACCTTAGAGGCCTTCTGTGTCGCGGCAAACTAATAAAATAAATGGGTTTGTGGCGGTTACCACAGAGCTGGCACTTAATGCATCGCTATGCGGCTTTTGGTATGCGCAGTCGCTCTCCCGAGAGGTCTTCTCGACGGCAGGGAGGGGGGGGGGGGGGGGGGGAGGAGAAGGAGTAGGGAAGGATCAGCGGCTTTTACAGTAATTGATTAGAGGTGATTGGGAGGGAATGAGAGGCACACTTGGTCGTGAGTGGCTTCGAGAGAGACTTGATCTTTGTGGTCTGCTCGATGGACGTGGAACAGTTTAAAGGTGGATGGACCTTACAGGTCGACTATTCCAAAGCTTGGTCAGTCTCGATCACTAACTTCGCATCAGTAATTTATGCTCCCATCAAGCCTCCACTGTAGATTGAAATAGTGATTTGATAGAGTAGTTCCCTGAACGGCTTTTGTCTATTCAGGAAGGAGGCAGAGCGCCGAAACGTAAAACGCATAAAGTGTTTTCAAAACATCGACAGCAAAGCTCAGGAAGACTTTTTCAACGTTTCGTCAGCATCCCATGAAGGCTACTGTGCCTGAATAAGAGGACAACTCTAACTCCGGCTTCGCTCCCTGTAAGCTGTCCTGGGTGCCGGAACTCCTCCCCGAATTCCCACGGCAAGCGGCAAAGGTCACGCGGGCGGCGGCTACCCTATCCTTGCACTGGGAATTCCAACCTTTCCCTTCAAAGCGCGCGACTGCGCGCGATCGGGTGCAGCGAAGACGACGACGTTTTCATGAAGGAGATACCGTACCGTACCCAGCTGTCCTTGCCCAGTCATACAACGATGGGTCAGCACGCAGCTTAACACGAGTTAATGTGAATGTAAATGTAAATGTAATAGTAAATATGCTCATCTCAACGGATGGATCGAGATTCTGCAGTATCTGAAATCCTCTGGATCGAGATATTCGGGCATGAACGTAGAGTGCATAAGTTACTGCGAAGATCGACTGGTCACACTGACTGCGAACCTTTCGAATGATTCGCGAGTCGGCATCACACAGCACAGACTTGTGCTCCTACAGCAAAGAGCGATGGGGAGCAGGGTGGTACGATTACATTGAGGCCTCCACATTCACATCAGAACCAGAAAGGTCGACGAATTTTTTTCGTGTCATACGAACCATATCTCACCGAACGAAGGTCTCCGAATCGTTCAGCCACGAATAAATTTATGACGAGTGTTGTAATGTTGTTCTTGTTCCCTCTTTCAACGCGTATAGGAATTACCGTTTGCAGTAAGGGTGATTCCATCTCGACCGCATGTTGGTAGGTGTGACGAGCATAAGCTCGGGGAGATCCTGCCCCACTGATCAGGATGCAATGCAATTGCTTGCAAACAAAGAACTCTTCAAAGAAATTAATGGCAAAACTGACTGACAACAGCACCTCATCCGAATTTTAACGGCAATCGCAGACAGCTGTGTTGCCCACAGCACTCACCATTCTCTGTGTCTATGTGTGCTCTACACGCTGCTGCTCTTTTCAAGGAATGCAAAATGCTGAGGCACCTTTCTTCGCTCTGTTCAAGTCAGACCATCCAATCACCACGAAAAGAATACCTTTCCAGAGAACCGTCACTTTCCTACTTATTGGAAGCGCATGTGCGGGGAGAAACAATGAATGGATTCAAAATGCCGGAAAAGGAGGCATCGACGGAGAACTCTTGCAAAGGTGCTAGCCCTTTCAATGACATGTATCAGTAGTAGCACACTTGCCCAGGACCAAAATGTGGGGCTCTAACAGCACCTGAAGCGGAGTTGAAGATGATAGTAAGCCTTTAGTGAAGGATGGATGCGGCATGTATAGAGTACCGTTTTCAAAGAGTATGCGGATGGCTGTATTATTCTCCGCCTCCATTGAGGTCCATGGTTCGAATAGGAGCGACACAGTACATGATAAAGATACCTACAATAGACCCATAGCACCTGCCAGAGTGCGTTCTGGGAGTTGCCAAAAAAACATTCCTCGTCAAAAGAGAAATTTTTCTGGACGAAGGCTGATGAATCCTAATATTATTCATGAGGACCAGGGCAGGAGAGGGGAGAAGTGGAAGGAAAAGGGGGTAAGAGGGACCTAAGGGCAGACAAGAACTATATGGAAGGCTCTACTAGAGCAAGAGGGGCTTTTCCTTTAAGGTATCTTCTTCCCGCTAATTTTTACACTTACACTTTTACACTTTTTCGCACTCTATCGCAGTATGGATCAGACGAATATAGCACAACTTATGACCTAAGTTTAAAATCCAAATTCAAAGCTCACCTTCCTTTTTAAAGGAAGATTGCGCCGTTTTCGGGGACGGTGAAGGCTCAATCTCCACTGCTTTTGTTGTAGCAATAGCGGTATCGTCATGGAATTCCAGTGTTATGGACTTCTCGTCGAGATCGTTGAACACATCGCTGTCTTCGTCCTCAAAAGACTTCGGATCGAACGTATTGTGAACACTGCTGGCATCTGGCAACCTCGCTTCGTCAATAAAAGTAACTTGAGCACTTCCATTCGTGAGTTCGTTTAAAGAGATGCTACTAATTACCTTCGGCATCTTATCACGTAGAAGCAATGTCTTGGGACTGGGCAATTCTATGACATCGTGCTCTACGATGTCTACTTCACTTTCTAAAATGTTTTCGCCGGTCAGTTCGTTTTCCGTTTTTTTGCTGACTACTCCCTCCATATCATTTGCTGCTTCAGATCGGGCAGTTGTCACCACACTCGTCGTTGTTGAGAGCATGAGTGTAGGCACAGCTTTTGTCGGTGTCATCTCAACTTCTGCTGAACTACTTCTCAAAACGGCTTCTGAGCGGTGAGCACTCTCATCATCGCGATTCCGGTTTGAAATTTCAGCTTCCTTCTGTTTATCATCGGAGAGAACGTCTCCCTTGTCGACGTCTTGTTCTGCAGGAGGTGAATCGAACAACTTTACTGCATCAATTTCAGCTCTGAGAATAGGCAGTTTCCTGTTCTCAACGTCGTGTTCTGTACGATCTAGTGTACTTGACACGACATTCGATTGTGTTTTTCGATCGAAGTTGGTAATGGAGTCAGAAGCGATCGGATGGGGAACATTTAGTGCAACATCCTCTTCAACCTCAGTTGTCGATGTGGGCGAGAGATGAATCACTGCCGATGGGTTCCCATTAACCTCTGTGTGTTCTGAAGCTCTGTAGAAGTTTAGCATGGACCTTGCTGAAGCCAGAGTGACGCACTGTAGTAGAATAAGAGTCGCGTGCAGCATGAACCTGTAAACGCTTTCGCCATTACACGAGACTTCTTATCTAACTTCTTTTCTTTTGTCGCAAAGCAAGCGAAAACAAAGAACGTAAAACTCACTTTTGTATTGTAATTGCAACCTAGATATGGTTCGGAAAAGGATAAATTGCATTTTTGCTATATTATATAGAGCTCTGAAGATTCCTGTTAGAACTCACAAGGAAAGGATACTGGGTCGCAGTTGCGACGTGCAAGATGAGGTGTATTCCCACGTTAGTACTTTCGAACGCTGATCTCAAACCGTGTTCCAAACCTGCGATTCTGGAAGCAGAGTTATGGGCCGATTTCCCCAGATGTCATGTCACTTTGTTACTTTTATACGAGAACCAAGCAGTTCCAAGCGTGCAGTCATGGCGCAGTTGGGTTACGACGGCCTTGGTAGGCGTGGCACGGAGGTACGAATCCTCGATGCGTGCGCTTGTTTAGTTTTTCTATGAAAAATGTCTTAAACTCACGTGTCCTCTTTAGGCATCATATAGACTACCTACAACCCTCCCTCATAACTATAGAGAGCCAGATCTGCTTAAACAAGTGAAGTTTTCCATTGTCTTCACGGACTCAATAGAGTGCTCGTACACCCTTCTGCTTCCGCCACTCAAGACGTGGTTACGCAATTCGGCACAACTCATGCAGGATTGTGCAGACCATGCGTTGTTTCAACAGATTTGCTTTCAACCCTACTGATCGTCGGTTCATGGAGCTCGTCCAAGGACCGTGAAGCGATTCAGAGTCCTATGCTGGCACAACTGGCAAGGCGGTGGAAGTTCTCGACACCCCACCTGACGCAACATCTCAAATTCAGCCTCTCAACGTCTTTTTTTCTTACCGTTTATAGCCGTGTATAAGTGTATTGTCTGTCTCGCAATTGCTCATGATCTGGACTCCCACATTAGCAATCGCAAATCCATGATTCGCCTCATTTCACTAGTGTACTACTTGTTTAGCGCGCCTAGATTCAAAAAAACTTCGTTCTTATTCATGGTTTCCAGTAGAGTACCTAAACAGGGAACCGGGAGAATCAGAAACTTTTGTACAATATTGTTTCTCATCTCATCTGGACGGGAGTTGTGAGTGTGGTGGGTGTGGTGAACTTTTTCTATACATTATTAACATTGTGAAGAGCTCTTCTGTTTCAAACACATTGAATCATCAAATCTGTTTATGGAATTCTTACCTACTGTTCATGATATTTTTGCATGAAGATGACAGCTGAATTGTACAACTTACTTCCACCATTAGAGAGGGCATTACTTCTTCCAAAAGCGCAATAGTACGACGAGTCATCCAACCGCCCCCTTTCGAAATTTATGGAGCTACTGAATTTTCTGACCACATCTCGAGTGCCCGAAGCAGAAGGGTTCTATGTGCACCCCTAACCAGTCTGAGGGGGCGACGAGAAAAATTTACTTGTATTAGCTTTTTCTTCTAGTGCTCCATAAATATGAAGGAGGGCCGTAGGTAGCCTACCTACAGCCCTCTCTCATATTACTACATGTCCTGCGACCGTTTGAGGCACTTTTCATAGAAAACCTAGACAAGCGCACGCATCGAGGATTCGAACCTCCGCGTCACGCCTACCAGGGTCGTCGTCCCCGACAGCGCCATGACTGCACTTTTGGGACTGCTTGGTTCTCGTATAAAAGCAACAGAGTGACATGAAATCTGGGGAAACGGAGCCCATAGCTTTGTTCCCGGAATCGTTCCGCAGATTTGAAACCCAGATTTAAGATCAGCGTTCGAAAGTACTAGCGTCGGAATACCTCTCATCTTGAAAGGCCACTGCGACCTAGTATCTCTTCGTTGTCTTTCTTTTTTTGGTTTTTCTTTCTTCTACAGTTTTTTTTTTCTGTGTGTAGTTCGTTCATGTGTAAACATAATACGGCTACAATTTCGCGAACAACCGACAGTTTGCCGGAGTGCCCCAATCCTACTATATATAATGCACTGTGTGCGTGTGTGTGTGTGTGTGTGTGTGTGTGTGTGTGTGTGTG